AAGGATCTTTTTCAAAGTTGTTTTTAGGATGCCTACTTTGAAGAAAGTTCAGCAACTTTCCCTCCAGCTAACTATCCCCACAATGTACTGAATAATTGATAGCTTCAAATTTGAAACTTATTTACTGGTGAAGTATTGCCTGAAGCCCTGTTCCCACTGCAGTGACCTTCTTTCCAACGTTGATACTAAAACCCTGATTACTTCTTATAGTCAAGCAAATTCTCCCTTTAAAGTGCTCCTCACGTAGAAACATGTCAAACATTACAACAGGATGCTACCAACCCATTTCTGTTTTCTCCAGAATAGAATTCTATTCAACAAACTGCCGTCATGGTACAGGCTAGAAGCACCATCACTGAGTATCGTCTAAAACTTGTGTGCACGACTAAATTGAAGTCATCAATATCCAAAAACACACATGTCTAAGCGACAATTTCCATTCAAAAATATCTCCCTCTCAGTTTGATATTGGACCAATCTGTTGCCATTCTTTCCATATGAGGACAACCAGTGTTGTGATTCCAGATGGGTGCCTCCGCCTCACCCCTCCCCTACATTATTCAGACACGCCTGTCCCCCTCCCTCCACAATAACCTGCCTGCCTCCAGACAAGCCCCCTCCCCCATTCAGTGACAAACCCTTTCAATAATCACCTCACACCCAGAACAGTTGCTTACTGCCTCAATCAAACTCCCAAAATTCCACCACTTGAAAAAATTCTTCACCTTTCAATTCTGAAAACATCACTATTCACTGGCTACGTACAATTTACAGTTTCAAACCAAAATAAAGCTTCCCAGAAAACTGATTCCCCGAGGGACAATACACTGGAAGAGCTGTTTTGTCAGTGTCAACATTCCCGCCAGGTCCCCTGATGTCCATGGTAACATCCTTCCCTCTGGCAGAGAAACAATCAGGGGCACTTGCTGGTAGATCACTTGAAGGAACATCTAACCCTCTGCCACCATTGCCAGAACATCACTAGCCTGGGGTCTTTGGTCATCAGAAGCTAATCACGCCACTTGAGGAGACAAGAGCTCTCGCCTTAGTCCCTTGTCCAAGAAAGGACTATTACAAATGCATTGTACAAAATATTCATGGCAATACCAGTATGTCTCATTTCCATGATCATTAGAGGAATAAAATTACTTTCTTTCACCAGAACTTAAGTTACTACATCTTAAAATGAAAGTGACAAAACCATATTCTCAATAAAATTTCTACCAAAAGCTGATTTATTTGTAAGATTCAAACACCACCATACCAATGTGATAATGCATAACTATCAAATATTGATGACACCAGGTGTTCGTGACAAGGTGAGCTATTATGTCCCACTATATTTTAAAACTCACTCTATTTTAATTGTTACCACCAGTAAACAGTAAAACAGTAATACATTTGATAAAATAATGATTTGTGAATTTGGAGAATGTGTTCTAAGAAAAAGTGTCCATTTCTGCATAAACTAATGAGTGTTTTGTTCATCAAATTAGAAAATTCCTTTGAGGAAAAACAACTTCCTCTGAATGGGGCAAATCCCTCGATGGTGTCACTTGATTGGCTGTCCGTGACGGCAGTGTCGAGAGCACACCGCAGCATACAACTGCAGCCCCTACCTCCACTGATAATGACGGAAGACAAAAGAGCTAACATGGGCCCACATGAAAGGACAACAAAATGAGTCCAAGATGGCCACCATGTTGGGAGTTTCATCTCCTGAGCTTGCCCAGGCGGCCATGTTTGAAGTGGTTGCCCCCTGCAATGACCCAACAACATTCAATCTGGGCATCCAATGATGGCCAAATTAAATCGCAGCCCGAATTCATCACAAGCCTTGGAGTCTGATTGAAGCATAGAGGAGGGTTGGAAATCAGGCAATTCAAGAAGAACTCTCACCAAATGTGCCATCATGTCGAAACTGAATGATCAACAAAAGCTCATGGGACAAGCAAACTGAACGGAGTGCTTCCACACTAATCAGGTCAGTGACAAAAACACGTAATGTCCTGACTGGTTAGAAAGAGCAAGATAGCCATACAAGTAACTGTTCTCAAATGTGCTGAAGTCAGATCTCTCCACCATTATTTTACCGACATTTGCAAATACTGGAAAATTACGGCATTTAGGTGGCTGCTTAGCTCGTCGAACAAGATTTCATTCAGAAATGTTTTTAATCATTCTATCTCTTCCCAATAAAAACACCCTGATCCTGTTGCCTGATAGACATAGTGATTGATGTGCATATCACAGCACAGATGGTGAACGCCTTCAGTCACAAAAAATGATGCTACTTCTACTGCAGATAAATCTACCTTCTTTCATGACAATTTATTCCCCATGTCTTCATCAGGCACAGCGAAATTCAATCTTTCTGTCCTAGTATCGTAGCTGACAAAACAAAACTATCGCGAGCCACATGGAAACAGACACTTGTAATATAGAGCGTAAATACAAAGGGAGATAACTCAATAATGACGGGTCAATCAGACTCTTAGATCAGCCTCAGCGGCAGCTATGATTGAAGAAAACCAATATAGGTATTGACTAGCTGGAAGGTATTATATCATACTTGTACCACACATCTGGACCGACTGGGTGATGGGAACACTCCAATAAAAAAACGTGGGACGACAAACCGCCAGATCACAGCAAACATGTCAGTCAAACACAGCATCATCACATAACCATTTCACCAAAGAATACGACAAGGCCAAATTGTTTTATCAGTAATTCCCAAACTGAGTTTTAAGTTTGCATGAGCAAGATTGCCTTTCCTTTGACTGGCTGTACGGGGCACTGCGCCCAGTCCATCCCATATCAAGAGGAACATCTAGTGAGAACTGCAGTATCAAGAATTTCACGAGCTACCAGGTTTTTGCAGCTCTACAGAAATCGGAATAATTGCATTTATTGATTCAATGGAAAATGCAGTGAATCAAATCCACTCTGGGGTTTCTACGCTGATCCGCTTCTATTTATACCTCAGAAGGAGAAGATGAAAATTAACTTTTCCTCAGTAAATAATAATTGAATTCAATTCTCATTCCGCTCAATTGATTTTACTTCACTGTTGCTGGTGCAATGGTAGTTTTAAACATCTGAAACTGTTGGTAAATTACTCGAAAGTTGACCTGAATGAAATTTAACATTTTTGAAGCCAAGATAAATTAAATTATCCCGCAATTGAACTCAGTTGTTGATTTATGGTATGTCTAAATGTCAGTGCTAATCCACGGAGAACTGTCACTCTCGGAGGTTAAAACAGGGGACAAATTGAATTGGAATTGTAGTCTTCCTGACTGGCCCCGTGGTGATACACTGGTTACAATTCACCAGATTAGCTCTTCAATAAGAAGTCTAATTTAGTAGAGTCACCAGTTTTGCCTCGTGTGCACTCTGAAGCACTCTGTGTAAGCAAAGTAGAGTTAATTGAGCAAATTCTCTAATAACTGTAGAACATCCACCAGTTTGGGGAGATACCCAGTTGGCAGCCCTTGGCCTGTCCAAATAACTGAATTTTATCTCTTCCAATTTAGATGCAAAATGGCTGTCCGTGAGTGAATAAGCTAGTTTCCTGAAACAAATTAGCATGACTGTGTCTAGAAGTGTCCCTTCTGTGTTTCATAAATCACAGAACAAACAAAATTCCTGAAATCCAGCATATGTGAGAGGCAACTAAACTCTTTCCAATCAAATTTTGTTTTAAAAAAATCGTTTTTAGAATTAAAAAGATCCATTTTAACAGAATGTGCAATTTGAAACTCAAAGCCATACACTACTCTTAGTATATCTTACTTCAGCTTCTTAAAGTAAGGCACTGTTCTCACACAAAACAAGCAGTCATGGCCTGTTGGAGCTCTGCACACACAATGCAACCTCTGTACTCTGGTCAACCAATCAGGCAAAAAGATAGCTGACACAACAAACTATTTTCCCTAAGACTAACAATAAATAAAAATATTTTTCTGACTGGAGAATTATCAAGTGAGCATTAACTAAGTGTCTTCTATTTGTAACTGGAAAAACCCAACATCATCTACCTATCATCACTGATGTTTTCCCATTATTCTTGCAAAGTACTACTTTCCTACTGCTTCTCACAATGAAGGTGAGACTAACTTTACAATACAGTGAATGACTTGTTTCACTTCTCACATATATTGATTTTTTTATAAGGTTGGGCTTATCATGCATTGTGTCCATTAATCCTAACTTTCAAGGCCAGAGGTAGCCTATCGTTAAAACATGCAGTTGGGTTGTGTTACCTTGCGTGACTCCATTACTTTTAATCAGCAACTAACAATCACCTGTGTTACCATAAATAAAACATGCCCAGATGGCAGGCCCTGCACAAGCCTACATTGATGTTAGTTTCAAGAAAAATATTTACATGTCCACAATTAAATGCTGTTTCGGAATTAGCATTTCTATTATTCATTATTTGTGGAACTGTTTTTCAGATAAAACTTATTAATTCTAGGAGAATACAAAGATCTCACCTGCATCCCAGTACAGATTTAAAGATACCTATATACTGTAATTCTAAACCCTACATTTTACGATTCTATTGTAATTATCTAGAGAAGACATCCAAGAGAGCAAGTTGGCTTTAGGGTCGTTTATTACAGTCTCCTAGTGATATCACGACATGTCAGCTTGACGGGGGAGGAAAGCCTGAAATGGTACAGGTCGCAGACATTTTAACATTTTCGTGTCTTAGACAACAGGGTGAAAATCGGGAAGTTGTCGAAGTCTATTACCAAGCGCAAATGACCAAAATAAAATAAATGATAAAATAATGTGCACACTAGTCCGCAATCTACCATCCAGATGATATCCAAACATTTATATATACTGTATATAAATCATATTATCAAACGAAGGTAGTCGACAGGACAGTAGCATCAGGACGGCAGAAAAAGACACCGCTGGGACCAGCCGATGTGTAGGAAGATTCATCACTGTCGCCAGAATTAACACGCTCGTTCTGTACTCACATCGCCATATTTGGAGAAGTAGTTCTTGACATCTTCGATTGTCGTTGAGGCGGATAAACCTCCCACGAATATCTTCTTGGTTCTAGTCACCATCTGAAGGAAAAGAACACATCCATTAATGTCTAATTAGAACTGCATCGAGTACATCATAAGAGCAGACACCATGGTGGGTCGGAACCAAGCTAATGTACATCAACATCTACAGACATTCATTTTTCGCTCCATGTTATTGTGTTTCTAGCTATTCTTTGTGCATTTTGTTTTAATATCATATGCCAGAGATTTATTCCCTGCAGCAGCAAATGAAAGTTCGACTTTCCAAATTGGAATAGAAAGTGTTCCAACTCATGTAAATATGCTTATTACTAGTGTATGGTAATGTAGGGGTGAACTGTACCAGTAGAAAGGAAAAGGCTTAACTGCTGAGAGTAACATTACTGCACTGGCTACAACATCAAAATACCTGAATTTACAAAATTACGAACAAAATACCAACATCTTCCCATTGGCCTCCCAAGGTCTTGGCTTGGATGCCCCATAATTCCCCTCTCTCATTACGCACACACTGCTGCCCAATACAACTCAAGTGTTCAAAGAGATATTTTTAATTTCTCTCCATAAAGTTTTTTTATGGCAGTTCTGAAGATGACTAGGCAATATTTTATACTCTTTTGAAAAGATTTTGTTAAATTTGTTCTGCATGACTTATTTTGAAGACAAAGTTATCAAACAGACAATTCATGCCTTAAGATTTAGTATTCAATTATCGCAGCTCTGGCCACGGCGTATGCTGAAATCAAATCATGAACCTTTCAGGGGTTATCTAGTTACCATACCCTCAATATTATTCTGAGCCAATCGTGTCTCTACATATGTATAGTGAGCCTTGGCTTTTCTCCTTCAGAAACAACCAAATCGGCAGATAGTAGTTCACAGGAGAATAACAGCAGATCAAATTCTGAACAGTTCCTTTCATTGTAAGAACGTTGCACACAAGTTCAGTTAGGATGAAGAATAGCTCTCCCCTGCATCATTTCAATAGATCTAACTACCATCCCTCAGATACCAACATTCAGTAACACATCTACAAGACCTCTTCAATCCTGCATAAGCTGTTGCCAAATTGTTGCCAAATTGTCTTAACGTTTTAAAATTATCAGCATAATCTCTATAAACACACGACACCAATTTAGAAAATATATCAACTGCATTCATTACCAGCTTAATTATGTGAATTGTATAATTTCTACTTTTCTATGTATCAGAAATAATGCATCGCTGTGTGAAATATATATTACATGTACAATATTTTAGAAAGCAGCTGGGCAATATATTTATACTTTTCTTCTATTCACAGGTAGAACGCATTTCTGTAGAATATATTCCTAGTTTCCTTCTATTCACAGGTAGAACACATTTCTGTACAATATATTCCTAGTCTTCTTCAATTCACAGCCAACTCTTGACCCAACTCATCCAAAATGGCTTCTTAGCTTGTTTACCAGACATTTTTCATATCAAATTCATCACCACCTTTATGTCACATGACCACGTTACTTCAGCGGAAGACACTAAAAAACCCTGACACTAGTTCTGTGGAAGCATTTGATGACAAATAACTGCAATATTCTGTGATTGACCATATCAACCATTGGCATCAATATATACAAACAGAATTCAGATTTGGGGCCATTATCAGGTTGATAAAAGAGCCTTTGATAAGGAGGAGCTTGTTTCAGGATTAAAATATTCCAATCTGTTATTGTGAGAAATAAATTGCACAAAATACTGACAGTGCCATACATCACGTCCTGTAAAATGCAGTATGCGATGGGAAAAGTGTCAACCTGATTTCATACTCACTCCTATTTTAACAACTATCAAAAGCTACTTTTTCCACATATGGTATTCAGACTTGAAATACAGCACATACAATTCATTTCTCACACATTTAACACTGACACAAAATCAATCCTGACTGTGAAAGATTACTCTGTTTGCTGAAATACTACCATTTAGTTAGAGAGGCACAGAGAAGGAGAATTCTAGACAAGTCCGTGTTCAGTCCTTATCAATGCTTGAACCACCAACCTCCTCAATTATGCAAATCGCCAATGTGAGGAACATTCATCTTAGCAAGCGTGATTGAATTCCAATCTATCAATCCAAGCTAGGATAACTTTAACCTCTTGACAAAGGTAGCTCTGTGGCCTGTGACCAGCCTAGCCTTGAGCAACACATCACTACTGTCTTTGATGAAGCGAGAAAACACAATTTTTAAACTTTTCTCACCTGAGGTTTAGCTGACCCCACCCACATTGCGCACTTCTCGTGGTTTTGTATCGGACTGAAATGCTGTACCAGTGTATCCCACTGCTACCACCACATTATTGGAAAATGCTGAGCCTTTTGTAATGCAGAGAAAGGCATCACCTTGGCAACCCCTATGCATACACAAAACCCGTTCATCTACGCAGCTCAACATAGCCGGCCGATCAAACAGTGAACAAAAGAAAGGTATATACATTGTATGGTAGGCCCTTCGTGCCTATTCAGACTTGTGTCGCAGCAAACTTTCCCACCTTCAGTATAAAAGAGCTCAGCAAGGGCGGGCAAACACTGCTCACTGTGACCTGATTTGAGGTGCAGTTGAGACATTTATACTTCATATTCTGTGTAAAGACTCCTTTGTTTACTCTCTCGTAATTGCACCTGGTAACCTAGAACCCCTTCCCTCCTCCCTCCCCAACCAATCCACAAATAGCAACACTCTCAACCTGTCCCAGCCAATATCCACATATCTAAATCCACCTCTCAATATTGCATCCTTCTAAACCACGGCTGACTTAGTCAGGAATGAACCAACTCTGTACAGTAAAATGGAGCCTGTTGACCTGATCTCCGGCCACTCCCCCATCCCCTCACCCCCATGGTCTCCCCAGGCACCTAATCATCATTATGATAATATCAAATCAGTGTTCTACTGTCCGGTTTCTACAGACCAGCTGCTGTGACAGGTCCATGCTATTTCCCAATCCACCTCATTAATGCATCTCTGTCGAATCTAATATTAATACACCATGTTTAGAATACAATTCATACAGTCTTTTATTGTTTGGAAAATAGATTTTTTCCTAATATTATCTGAAAATGGTTTCATTGTCCTGTCTGCAGGGTGGCATTGTTACATTAATAGGAATGGTTTTGTTTGGAAACTGGTTAATGGTGTATGAAGTCCCCGCTTTGTCAGCACAGAGGTATTTGGTGACATGGATATCATGCTGAATACAGGATAGAAAACAAACACAAGAGACCGAGGTCGAGAGTTGGAGAGTGAAAATGGGAGAGTTCTAGAATACACTAGTGTGATAGAAAAATGTGTGACTGTGAAAGTTCAAGAAAGGGTATGTGTAAGACAGTTTGATACCATGTGAGAAAATTAGTCTGCATGAAGGCGAGGATAAGAGAATGTGTGAGAGTATGTAGAAGTATGAGCAAGTTTAGTTTTACGCCGCACTCAGCAATATTCCAGCTATATGGCGTCAGTCTGTAAATAATCCAGTCTGGACCAGACAATCCAGGGATCAACAGCATGAACATCAATCTGCGCAACTGGGATACAAATACATGTGTCAACCCAGTCAGCAAGCCTGACCACCCGATCCCGCTAGTCGCCTCTTACGACAAGCATGGGTTACTGAAGACCAATTCTAACCCTGATCTTACCGGGTTGTAAGAGCATGAAAGAGTATGATAGAGTATGAGAGAGTATAACAGCTTATGTCAGCACAATGGAAAATAGATTATGAGAGTACATTGGGCACGAGGCTCTAACAACAATGGGTGCAAGAGCATATGAGAGCACTCTGGGTATGAGTACGACTGCACTGAAAGTATGAGAGTCTGAGAGAAGGTTATCGACATAATAACCTCTGCAATACCACATCAAGTGACGGCAAAGTGATGATGACGAAGATAAACCACAGCTTCTACCACCCTTGGAGTCTCGCAAGCCCAGATCAATTCACATTTCAGCCGTATTGAATATCAAAGAACATAAACAACACCCCATACAAAAGAACAAACAGCTACAAGCAGTAAACTGAAGCTCTCCAATAAGATAGCAAAGAGGGTTTTCTTGTTCAATATTCGGGATATGGAGTATGTTCTGCTCTGTAGTAGCAGGTCCTTTGAATAATTGATCAGCACAAGGCGCTACATTCCTAAACTATATCCAATATGAAACAGAAAATCAGGTCTCTGGGGAAATCTTCAGGCCTCTGGTCCTCAACGATACATTTTGCTTTCTGAGTGTTCCTTTACCGCAAGACAACCCATCGGTCATCGTTCCATGGCAACATTACTTTTGTTGAGCTGAGTAAGTAGAAAAAATTGATGATAATTTCTCTGACAGTGTGGTTTGTCTCAATCAGTGTTAAAAACAAAAGTTGGAGGGCTTCATCAGAATTAGCATGAAAAAACGTGAACATCCAAATATACAGTTACAAGATCAAGAGAAAACCCGGACACATACTGCAACATCTAAAAACCAGAAACACGAGTAATTCTGTCAGCTATAAACAGGAAGTCTAGATTTGATGCAGAATGATCGTGTATTACCTAAAATACCATGAAACTGCTGACTGCATTAGCTGGAGACATACTACATCACAGAGATGCTAATGTTTCATAACTGTTTCCTATCAAGCGCAGCTAATAGTGACACTGTGTCAATGCTCATATCTCGTGTTGCACATCAAGCATGCACTGCTTCCTAGCGAAGTACTACTGTCCTGACAACTGACTACAAAACTGACTGTGAGCATCACAAGTACGGGACCTGGTTAATATCAAAGAGTGAAGGACATCCCTGCCAGCTACCATGACCTGCCAATCATACAACTCTCAAAACCACAGTCTGCCGATCAGACAGTTCTCAGACCTCAAGCTGCGAATCACACAATTCAGACCTCAAACTGACCATTGTACTGTTTTTCTGATGTCCCTTTAATTCAGAAACATGTTCATATCATAATAAAATTCAAATTAACAATTAAAGGCACAAGACTAAATTTACAATATATAATAATGAC